TTCCTGGCCCAAAGATCCCAAAAGGTGTCACCTGCTTAGATTGTAAGGGCCAGGAGCATGGAAGGGTAGAGTGTATGTAACCTGACCCCTTCCTATCTTTCCAGTCTTCTTACACCTTATTCCCTACACTATGATCCAAGAATACTAGCCTCTGCTATTCCCATCACAGGAAATAACATCTCCCATCTCAGTGCCTTTTCACTGACTGTCCCCTGTGCCTGGCCTCTGCCTCCTGGATTCCCTAGCTTTTGAAAGTTTCAGCTAAAATCTCACTTTCTCCAAGAAGCCTTTCTGGATGATCCCTTTTAACATGAATGCCTTATTTCTGAGATTATCTGAAATTCATCTTGCATATACAGTCAGTCTTCTATTTGCACAGGTAACATTCCTAGAAAACACCAAGAAAGTAAAAAACACAAGTGTTGATACAATGAACCTATGGGAAAGAGGGTGTTAAGTTCCCATGACCACCGCAGACTGTAATCTTTCACTAAGAGATCGCTGAAAATACACTTCTCTGTATACAATTCTTTTTTAACAAAATATTGATTCTGATAACATGCAATTTTCTTCACACAGTAACCTTGAATTAACCCATAAAATGCATTACACAAAATGAAATTGTTAACATGCAAAACCTTTTTTCTCACTAGTAATTTCCTAGAATTCTGTAACCTTTTGTGCTAACATCCCAACACAAAACACATCGATTTCAGACAATATTCACTTTTCATAACACATGAAATCTATAGTACCATAAATACTGTACAAGTAAAATTCTTAAAACTGAAGCAATTTTTAACCTGAATCATAACTCTTACTGTGTCAGATGGTGGTGTTAGGGTATTGTACTGTACATCATATTGCTAGAAATCTTTTTTATCTTGATTTCCATCTGGAAACCAAGGGAGAGGTTGCTGGGACTTTAGTCACTGCTGTCAGAAGTTGCTGAGACTGGATGAAGTCTTGACATCACCTCTGACACCCTGTCCTTCACTGCTGGTCGATGGCATTGGAGATTTTAAAGGACACACTAGCTTGAAATAATACATCAGCGACATCTGTTTCATGTGCAGCTTGGGCTTCTTAAGGGTCTTGCAGTATGGAAACATAGCAGAAGAGACCTGACATTTAACTTTGAGTCTGCAGTCAATGATAGGATTGGCAAACAATGAAAACATGCAACAAATGCATAGGAAGCTCTTTACAATTATACTGGCATAGCTGGTGAATAAGATCAGTGAAGTGACTAGTAGAATACCAGCCACTCCACAAACTTGTGTGTATCACGCCTTTCATTTTCTCTTTATTGTACATAGCTGTGAGTGGCCAATGCAAAACTGAAAATAATAAAAATAAATAACAAAAATAACTACTAAAATCGTGGGAACTCTTGATTTCACTTTGGTTAAATGCTGGAATATTAAGGATTGACTGTATCTTGTTTATATATAGTTATTTGCATATAGTTCCTTTAGATTTTGTGCTCCTTGAGGGCAGGGACTATTTTTTCCCTTTCTTTGTCATCACAGTTGCTTGAACTTAGTGGTTGCCTAATAAATGCCTGTTGTTGATATGCCTTAAGGCTCTTATTACCCCTTACCTGGACTATATAAATCATCTCCCCATTGATGTTTCTAGTCCTTTCCATCTTCAATTCAACTTCCACAAGATGCCAAAATAATCCCCCTAAGGCACAGATCTAACCACATCACTCCCCTTCTCAAAAATCTCCAGAGACTACCTAGGTCCAGTAAGATAAAATACCTATTCCTCAGCCTTGAACTCCATAACCTGGCTCCTCCCCTTCATATTATTTCCCTTCACTCTATGTTCTGGCCAATTGGTCTACCAGCTGCTACATGAATTTGACATTCCATTTCCTGTCTCCCATCTCTTATCTTCATACTTTCATACAGACTGTCTTCTAACCCTGGAATGCTTGTCCTTCTCACCTCTGCCCCTTAGAATCTTAAGTTCATCTCAGGTGTCACCACCACCCACACAAAGCCTTTCCCTATTTACTCCTCTTACTCCACTATTTACCCTTCAATTACCTTGTATTTACTTAACAGTGGGCATGTTGTATCCTCTGCACCCCCTTGCAGAATGTAAGTTTCTTGAGGCAGGAGCTGTTCAGAAGATTATTTCTCTTTCTTTTTTGCTCAACTCTACTATTTCTCTCTCTCTCTCTCTCTCTCTCTCTCTCTCTCTCTCTCTCTCTCTCTCTCTCTCTCTCTCTCAACTTGTTACTTCTATTGTTTTATTTACCTCCAAATCTTTGTGAGTAGGTAGCACAGGGATAACTATACTTTTAAAAAAAAAAATGGGGCAAATGAGGCCCATAAAAGTGACAAGCTCTGCCCCAAATCTCCCACGTTAGAGACAGAACTAAGACTGGAAGCCAGGTCTTTTGGCTACTAGTCTAAAGCTTTGTCATGGAGTCAGGAACTGTTTTTGCTTTTTTCCCCTCACTTTGCATAAACAGTGTTTAATATGGAGCCTGGTTTGTTGATTGGTGTGATAATGGAAAAAGCATAGGATTTGGAAGGTCTGGTTTTAGCTTTGCTGTTCACCACATGCAAGGTTTGGGGAAAATTACTTCCCGTTTCTGGGTCTCCGTTTCCTCAGTTGTAAAATTCTATGGTTCTAGATGCTGCTACTTTAATAGATAATAAGAAATCGCTAATGATTAACCAATGAGGAGAGATAAGATGAAGATTTAAATTTTAGGGGGAAAAAATACAAAGTCTGCCTTCTCTACACTATGGCTTCATTTTATACCTGACTTGAGGGGAAGAAAAGCATTTGTAAGGACTCAGATATAAGCATGCCTTTTTGGTTAACATTTTTTGTTACTAAGTTTTAATTTTTCCCTCCTACCTTGGCAGATAATTAGGCAGATAATACAGGGAACAGTCAGTGAAAAGGCACTGAGATGGGAGATATTATTTCCTGTGAACTCCTAATTATATTAGGAGTTCTTTTAGAAGCTTTTAACATCCCCACCTTTCTTTCATCTGTCTTTTCCTAGAGAAATCCCCCCATTCCTTTTCCTTCTTGATAATTGTATTCAGTTGCCCTCCATGACCTCTCTGCAAAGCCAGTGGCACCAAAGGTAAATGGAAGGCCTGAAGCAAGAAGGACGAGTTCTTTTTCTCTCCTTAAAGCAAAGAGTCTTGTTTTACTGAGGGTCCAAAAAAATCTCCCCATGGAGAGAGAAAAGCTGGCTTGGCTAGGTCTAGCTGTTTCACTGGGGTTCCATCGCTGTTGATCACTTGCCTCAAAGCTCATCTCTGGCAGACTCTGCCATGCAGGTATTTCCTCTTTTGGTCAAGCATTTTTATTGAAGGCATCAGCAAAACGTACAAGTACACTGTGAGAAAAAGGAAGTGTTGTGGTCTGAGAGCTTCAGAGATCCCTCAGGGACCAAAGTACAGGATAGGGTGTCTGGAATGAATTCACAGACTCAAGCATTCTTTAAGTCAAGTTGGCAAAGATTTATTGTTACCCTTTTCAGTGGACAAAAGTTCTCAAGGAACCTGGGACCTTAGGCAGGTTCAGTTAAAGTTTATATAGGATAAACTACAGTAAAACACGTGCCAAATATGCTAACTAGGTGATTGAGGGTGGGATTAGGGTGTGGTTAAGGAGTGGTCAGTTCTTAAAGGAACGTGCACTTTTTGTATCTACTGCCCAGGCATTTTACCCAGAGTGCACCAGGAAAGGCCTAAGGGGGGACTACAAGGAGGTATGGTTTTAGGCCTGCAATGTCATCAAGTTAACTAGCGGTCAGGGCCAACTGAGGGTTGCCCAGTCTGCCACCAATCAATGTCTTGTTTGACGAGATAGATGTAGGGAGTATGTCTATGTCTTAAGTCAAGAACATACATAATGAGGAGTCCAGGATGCAAATAATGAGGTAGGGAGTTGGTATAGATAGTCCAGTGGGTACGAATATCTTTATGAGCCAGGACAAAGCCAGTTCAAACTAATAATTCCTACAGGTGTGGTTTGTAACAGCACCAGGAAGAGAGATAAGTGTGTTGCTGGGGTCCACTCATGAGTAACTTTTGGGCTGGGGAGAAACTGCTAGGCATAGTGTTTCTGACGCTAGGGAGAAACATAATCTTAGAACTGGGGTCCCAGTACAAACACCCAAGCACCCCATCATTAGCACAATGTCAAAGTTGTTTTCTCTGTAGTTGCTGTGATCCAGACTTAGTGTTTTATTATCTCTTGGGTAGATAGTTTCTGTTGACCTGTACAAATTCCCCTCAGTAGCTGTCTTTCAAGTTTTTCCTAGCGACTTAGCCTTGGTGAATTTTTTTCCCCCAGTTGCTGTTCAGTTGTTCAGTCGTGTCCAATTCTTCGTTACCCCACGGACCACAGCACGCCAGGCCCTATTATCCTCCACTATCTCTCAAAGCCTGGCCAAGTTCATGTTCATTGTTTCTGCATTACTATCTATCTTAATCCTTTCCTACTGTACCTGTGGCTCTCCTACCTGCATTAAATTATTCTGTTGTCTGATTCAGCTTCTGCCTGACAGAAATGGTCCTGGTTACTCAGAAGAGGAAGGGAAGGTATGATCAGGTCAGGTGCTGTGCCCTTGGGTGCTTATCCAGTCACCCACAAAACGAGAATTGGGAGTTAGATCTGGCAAGATGGCTGGAGTTAATGCCATCTCCTCCCATTCCCCTCAGATCTGGCTCTCCTTTGGTCACTCACACTGTCTCCAATTTGTTCTGTTTGCTCTAGGGTAAAGACCTATACTCCCATAAATGTCTCATCATCTCTCCCATACCCTAGGTGTCAGCCTTTACTGTGCAGCTGAGACCAATTTGTCCTAGGTGTAGATTCTTTGCAGTGACACACCCAGCATGACGCAGCACTCAGGTGAATGGCAGTAGCAGTAGCTTCCTGATTGCACAATCATGCTTCTGCCTTAGGGACGGAGAGGCTGTATTAGGAGAGAGACAGAGAGAAAGAGAGAGAGAGAGAGAGAGAGACAGACAGACAGACAGACAGACAGAGACACAGAGAGAGATGGAAGGAGAGAAAGGAGGGTACCTTACCTCCTGATCTTTTGCTTTGAGAGAGGGTAATTTGCATAATTATGCTAGAAAGGTAGCAAGAATTAAAATCCCTACAGAATGGAAGAAAGCTGCTGAGGATCCTTTTATGGAGCCAAAGGACAGAAGCCAAGAAGGATGAGCATCAGAGAAGGATTGATTCTTTGGAAAACTAAGGTGACTGAAGACTTCAGGTCACACAATAGTGGACAATAGGTTTGAAAGGAACTCCAAGCAGTTGGTGCTGCTGAACCTTGCCAGATCACTCAGGTAGGAAAGATAAAGTGTTGATGGATTAGCAGTATTTCTGTGTATGTGCCTGTCTCAAGTGGTGACTGGTTGTTCAGTTCTTTCCATTTCTTGTTCAAGTGGAAATGTTCTCTCTCCTTTCTTCTCCCCCCCCACTTAATGACTGGGGGGAAAAAACCCCAAAAAAGTAATGATGTTTATTAGAGGACACAATAAGAATGCATAGCAATAGAAAACAGAAAATGAGCCTTGAAGGCAGGTAAAGCTGGGCTCAAGTCTAGCTTCTGACACATATTGGCTACGTGATCCAAACCCCCAGGGAAATCATCACTTCTCAGTGCCCCAGATAATTCTCTAGTGCTGTAACTTGCAGAGGAGGTGCCAACTTGCATTGATAGCAGGAGTTCCCTTACTGGAGAGTTCCCTATACAAGTGAAATCCCTGTCCCTTAAGCAGATAAATGTCCCATTTCAGGAAAATGCCAGGTTTTTTGTATTTGAACATGGTAAGTGTGTTACATGGAATCTAGGAATGGGACAAGTAGGACTTGGTGTGTATATTTTCTATGCTGTTTGGAAAGTGTATCTTGAAAGCCTCTATCTCAGGACATGCCAATAAGCATTTATTAAGCACCTACTATGTGTTGGGTAGTGTGCTAAGCAGTGGGGTTAAGAAAAAAGGCAAAAATTAGGCCATGCTCTCAAGGAACCCACATTCTGCTGGAGGAGAGAATATATAAAGAACTATGTGTTAACAAGATAAATCCAAGATAAATTGGAGATAATAAATAATAAATAAAATAAACTTCTTTGTCTGGAAGGCATTAACATTAAGGAAGAGATGGAAAGGCTTCTAAATGTCACTGAGTTTGTCTGCCTGGCAATTGTGTTACTTCTTTGTTCAAAGTGCGCTTTCCTATGGAGTTGACAGGATACATATTAAGCATTTTCAGTATATACAACTTTGGCCATAGCGACTATGAAGACGGGCAGAGTTAAGGAACTGGAAAATTAATAAGCTTCAGTTCTACTGTCAATGGACCAGTTTTTAATCCTGGGCAGGTGTCTGCTTTCTAGTAGTCCTAAAGTACTTTTGAAACCCTGACATTCCAGAAAGGTCAAGATGATCATAATCTCTGAATAACTGCTAAGAGGGAGAGGATAAAGAACTCACTCAGGATCATTTGGACTTAGGCTATCATCTGGCTAATCCACTGACCCTGGGGAATATCACAAAATCTTAGATGTTTCAAGATCCCTGAGGCTATCCAGTTCAAACTTCACCTGAACTAGAATTCCCTCCACGACATGCTTAGTAAGTAATCATTTCACATTTACTTGAAGACTTTCAGTAAGAGGCAATTCACTATCTCAGGGTCTGTGAACTTATTTTAAAAAAATTGATAACTATTTAAATTTAATTGTTTTCATTTGGAATTTTATTTTACATATTTAAAATTTTCATTTTGGTGAAGCCCATAAGCTGCATTAGACTACCAAAGGAATCTATGACACAAAAAAGGTTAAGAACCTCTGCACTAAGGGGATAATACCCCTCAGAACATAATATAGTTATCCCTTCCACAATCATGGGGGTTTGGAGTGTGGCATTCCTATGATCTAGAAAATCCACATAAAATTTTTTGGCCCTCTCTTTGTACCAGAGAAGAGGTCTGAATTATTATGGTATTAAAAGATAAAATATGTTGATGTTATAGAATACTATACATATGTTTTATGCATTTCTGAGTTTCTAAATTTTTTCTGTATCATCTGCTGGCCTTCGCATGTCATCTGCGGCTCATGTTGACCCACTAAACAATGTGGAAAGGATAGCTGTACTGGCTAACTGCATGACAATGCATTGGATTATCAAAGATAGATGTTCAATTAATTGTGTATTTCTACCTGTATTATATTATACCTTGATGAGGATAGGGACAGTGTCTTATTCAAACTTGGTATTTCCCCCAGTGGCAAGTATAGTACTCTGTACATATAAGGTCTTTAAAAATATTTGTTGAAGTCTATGCCTACTTTCCTAGCTCTGCAAAACTTTAATGAGAATAATCAACATATGTGAAGGCTTTTTGCTTACTCAGAACTCTTACATTCAATATCCAATCCCAATTCTTTCCTATAGAAGGGAGCAATGAGGACTATTACCATCATTTCACTGTTGTTGTTACAACTGTAGTCCCAGTAATAGCTTGTGTCTGTTTTCTTAGGACCAGCCCAGCAAAATAAGGAGAGGCTTACACTAATGGGTTGTCCAGTAGGTGATGAATTCTCTGGCCTTGGCAATTCAAAAAATGAAGAAAAATACAGAGTAGCTATCAATCCTGTGCAGCACCTTTCCATTTCTGTCATTACAGTCTCAAAGACTGCTAATAATTGTAGTGGTGGGTTTTTTTTTTATTATCTACAAACATTAACTTTGCTGTTAGTACTATGGTCTCCGATGACCAGAGGGTTGACATACTATTGGAGGGAATGAATCATAACAATCTTGACTTTCTCACTATAAATGAAACCAGAAGACAAAACGAAGTTACAACTAAATAGAAAATGGCGTGCACACGTTCTCCTTGGAGTGGAACATAAAAGAGTTAATGCAGGCGCTTTTATTGTGTGTCTCAGGGTAATAAGAACATTTCCTGGATATTGGGCTCTGTCATATTGTAGGGTTCATGGTAAGCATTTGCAAAAAGATTACATTACTTTCAGTTTCTGTGCCAGAGTCTGTTGCAGAGGATAAGGAGGTGGAGAAATTCTACAAAGGATATGATAAGACCATGTAAATTCAATAAATATACTTTATCACTTAGTAACTTTAGCACAAAGGTAGCTACATAGAACAAAGACCAAAGTTATGGTTTACGATAAAGAAAGGAAGGAGGCCAAAGACTTGCAGACTTCAAAAAACATCGCATGCTTACATATTACGTGTGCTTTCTTCAAAAAGAGAGTCTGGAGTCCTTATTTATGGTGAGTAACAGATAACTTCACAAAAATAAAATCAATTATTCTTAACAGATGGGAAACTGCTAGTAGATACCAGGGGGATCATTTGCGAATCAGTTGTCAGTATATAGTCAGAATACTAACTTAATGTAAAAATAAAACCAACATCAAGTTTTAAGAATAAAAATAGGAATATATGCCACAAAATTAAGACAACTCCAATCTGACTTCTGTAAATAGTCAGCTGATGTTGAAAAAAGGGAAATGGGTTAAAAAAAACCCACAGACATCAATGTAATTTCTCAAGGACATTTGATAGGTATAAATCAATTACCACCACAGGGAAGCCAAAGGAGTCTATAAATGAACTTATATAGCATATACTTGACTACTTTGTCAAGTGAGGGCAAAAGAAGTTTAGAATATAAAATCATTTATAAAATATGATGGGGGAGGATGGAATAAGATATGAGTAGCCTGGCCTTTTAAAGAGCAAGAAATGGAGGGAAAAGAGTAAAATTCTAGAAGTTTAACTCAATTCAGATCATCTCAAAAGTATTGATGGATGGACCTGGAAAGAGAATAACAAACAGAAAATTGGAGGGGAGGAGGGAGATGGTCAAGATTTCTGTTTCTATATCAGTTTCACTGAAGTCATCACATCTATACTCTAATGTAGTCCCTGCTATTCTTCATAAGGAAGTAGAAATGACACTAAAAAACAGACAGGAAGAACAGCAGCTACACATGTTAAAATTTGTATACACAGAGGAAGTCTGTAAGGGAAGCAGCACAATATTGAGGGAATTGAGGGATTGATTTCCATGATATCTGATAGAGGGGATAATATAAATGCTTGAAAAAATAATGGAAGTTATTAATATCAAAGGCAAAAAAATAATTACTATTGGCTCATATACCTTATTTCCTATTTCTGTATTTTAAAAAATGATCATAATCTGCATATAAGAGAAAAAAAACAGATCATTTAAATAGTCCAATATCAGAAAAAGGAATTGAGCAAGCCACAAATGAACTCCCAAAGCAGAAAACTCTAGGGCCACATGGATGGATTTCCTGAGTGAATTTTATTAAATATTCAAAGAACAATTAATTCTAATACTATATAAACTGTTTGCAAAAATAAGAAATAAAGGGAGGCTTTCAATGTCTTTCTATGATACAAATATGGTCTTGACACCTAACTAGAGAAAGACAAAGCAGAGAAGAAAACTACCAATATTCCTAATGAGTACTGACGCAACTTTTTAAAATGAACAGATAGCCTACAGCAACATATTTGAAAGATTGTGTTCTATGACCAGGCTTCATTTATATCAGAAATGTAGGATTGGTTCAATATAAGAAAAAAAAACTATAAGCACAATAGACCATATTAGTACATACTATACTATAATGTAAAATAAAACCTATGTGATTATATTGATAAATACTTAAAAGGCTTCTGACAAATTCATACTCCAGTTTCTGTTAAAAACACCAGAAAGCATAAGAAGAAATAAGCTTTTCTTCAGTATGGTAAATAGTATCCATCTAAAACAGAGAGAAAACATTTTATATAATGGAGAAAAGTTAGAGACTTTCCTAATAAGTTCAGGGGTAAAGTAAGCATGCCCATTATCATTATTACTATGTAGTATAGTGCTAAAAATCCTAGCTATAGCAATAAGGGGGGAAAAAAAGAGAAATTGAGGGAAAAACATGGGCACAAAACTATCACTTTTTGTAGATGACATAACAATCTGTCTGTCTAACCCTAAGGAAAAGTCAACTAAAAGCTAAAATGAAATGAAACCATTACTTCAATTTAGCCAATTTTCAGGATAAAACTATATGTCATCAGTTTTCCTGTATGTTACCAATAAAACCTAATAGGAAGATATAGAAAAGGAAATTTAATTCAAAATAATTACAGAATGCGTAAGATATTTGGGAGGCCATCTAAAACACACCTAAGAACAACTATAAAACACTTTAAAGAAATAAAGCTGGATTTAAATAATTGGAGAAATATTTATTACTCATGGAAAGGCTGTG